CACATGTGTAAACTTTACCTTTTGAGTAAGTTTACTCAGAAATAATTTTTTTAAAAAAAAAGTATATAGTTATTTTTTGGTTGGTCAAATATAGAAATACTTGTGTTACTTCTAAAGTAATTTCTAAATCAAATTAAGTAACTTTTTTACTTAAAAGTAAAAAAATATAACTTATATAAATGTTTTTGAAAATACAAAATTTCTTTAAAAAGTAAATTTGAATAACTTCTAGAACTTAGCCAAAAAAATTTATTTCTTAAATGATTGAATTTGAACTTCATAATTAATAAACTCTAAAATATGTCAAAATATACATGTTTGGAAAGTATTTGTAAATCGTTTAAATAATAAAAAAGATAGAATTGATGAATAAGTAATACTTTTGAATCCCTCGAAATGCGATAAAAATTATTTGAGTGCTTATAAAAATGAGCGAAGCATAGAATTTTTCTACTATTTCTACATAATCTTATACTACCATACAAGTTAAATTATGACGTAGATAATGTGAATACGAATTGTCATGCATACATTGTATTAGGAGTCTATAAAGTCGCAATCATTGATCGAAACAATGCCTATAACGTCCCATAAAACAACTCGGTGGAACAATGACCCTTTTTTAGCCTTCATTTTATACGCCTAATTTTTTCTCCAAATTCATTTTCAACCACACAGTCGATCCGGTCTACGAATCTATTCGAACTCACATTCTCCTAAATACAAATTTACACGTCGACTTATAACTTTTCCTAACTTTATAATCATACATTCTCGAAAAAATCATTTTTTACAAAATCTATTTTTTTATTAAAAAAAAATTCTCTACAAACGGTCAATATTTAATATTTACAATTGGGTTATCTTGCCAATTTTATTTATTTTAATTTAAAAATGCAGCCGTGATATAAGGATTGATAACTTAAAAAACATAAGTAATAAAATTTAATCCCAAAAGGTTGGAAGTGTTGTTTTCATTCTACAGTGGTATAAAATATAAACGTTTCGATTGCTATATGGAAATATTTTAATTTCAGATAAAACAAATTTCAGTTATAATATAATTTACCTTTAAATAATTCTTAAAATAAAGAGAAATTAATAATAAGGAAATATAAAGTACCTATTCATTTGGTGTAACATATGATGTAATCATTGGAAATGACTCCTCGAATCGATATGAAAGTTGCACAAAATTAGTGTAAACCATTAGAAATGCTCTTAATCTACTTTGACACGAGGTCGCTTTTAACATATAGCTTCAACGACCAATAGCTAATATCATTAGATGTTCCGAGCTCGAACGAGGTAAGCAAATGAAGAGAGATATTAGAATCCTAGTACCGAATTTTGTCTAACACTTAAAAAAAGCAACTTGATTTATGTTCTACAATTATACAAATCGTCTTCAATAACGTAAATCATCTCATTTTTCTTAAAATTTTCACGTGGCTCTCACGAAAACTAGCCTTACTTCAAAATTTTGGGCATCATTTCAAGTCAAAAAAGAAAAAAAAATCAAGGTTTATAAAGTTAGACATGCAAATATTATATCATAACTTAGCAAAAGATTTAAATTCACATCATTTAATGAAATAAAATATTATTTATATATAAACATGCTAATATTCTCCAAAAGATTTCAATTCACATCATTAAACATGCAAATATTCCATCATTTAAGGATTGATCGATCAATTATAATAAATATTGTGAATCAATTATAATAAATGTCACTAATAGATATAAATTCAAGTCATTTTACGATCTTATGCAACTTGACCTTCATGAGCTCATCTCTCTACAAGGTGAGAAATCTGCTAATCTAATCTACCGTTGAAAGAAAAAATGAGGTATAACGATCAAAGACTCTCTGATACTTGTGTTAGCGAAATTGGGATATAGTTGATCTTAATTAAAATGGAGAGAATTATTCGTGATTGTGTACCAATAATGAGCTAAATAGGGGTGTCCAAAAGTCTCGAACCGAACCGAATCGAGCGGTTCTTCGTAAATTAAATACCCGAATCGAGAACCGATGGGTTTGGGTCGGGTCTCGGGTCTAGACCAAGAACCGAAGAACCGAAACTAAATAATTTTTTTTATATTGAATAAAATAAATTATTTTATTTTTTTCCATACAAATTAGCAAATTAATTAAATGAATCAGATTATTTCATAATTTTAATTTTAAAGCCTAAATCATTTTTAAAACCCATTAGCCCATTTTAATTTGAAACAAATGAATATACTTTATGTAGTGTTGCTGTAATATTAATATCTACTTTTTCGTATTTGTATGCATTGAATTAATCTTATTGAACGGCTAGTTATTTATATGTTTTTGAATTGGGTTACGTTAATTTGTAAAAGTTACGAATGAAATGTCATTAATTGTTTTTATGTAGTGTTACTGTAAATATTAAAAAATTTAATTATGGTACGGAATCGAACCGAATCGATCCAATCCGATCTGAACCGAACCGAATGGAACCGAACCCGAACGATTCCATAATTATATTTAGACCCGACGGTTCCATTTATTAAATACCCGAAAATTTTGGGTCTGTTCGGGTTTCTTCAGAACCTAACCGAACCGACCCACAGACAGCCCTAGAGCTAAATAAATAGTTCATTTAGCGGTTAACAGTTCGCCACCGCCTTCGTCACCTTCATCAACTTTGAGGCCGCGTGAAAACTTGAGCCACTCAAGGACTTTTCTTTCATTAATTTGAACGGTATATTAAAGTGATCACGATAACTATCTTAACATTCAAACTTAGGTTGCTAATTAGTTAGGACATCATGTGTATTTTTTGTTTGTATAATACTATTCACAGTCAACGATTGCAATAGTCAATTTATGTGTGAACTTGTTATTTGAGACATTAATTTCATGTAATGATGTTATTTCAAATAAAAAGTTAATGACTCAAATAATAAGCTCTCACATAGAATGATTTCTACACTAACTATAAATAACATTATTCTTTTTGTTATATCCGTTGTAAATGTAATGATTACTTCTAAGACGACCTTACTTCACAAAGACGTTTGGCTTTAATGTTTTAACTTTCGGTTATGAAACCGAACATATGTAGAGCCAACTTTTGTGAAGGCCAAGGATCGTCTTCCGTACATAGACACGTGACATTTGTGTCTGGCGTCTTTTGGACAGATATTGTGTCAAGGTTATTGAAGATTGAGACCTTATCTTCTTTGCTTGTGTTGTACTCGACCCCGTTACATTTCAAACGACCTCATGTTTGTTCGCAACACGTGTGCTAGGGGTACAACAATAATATTCATTTAAAAAAAAAGTCAAAATTGTTGGATCAAATCATGCTTTAAAAAAGGCATAAGCTTCAAGTTGGAGAATGAGAAAGTTCTCTTAGAATATATCGATTCCTTAAAGCACATACATCTTGCTTTATGATATATGAGTCTGGATAAACATACGCAGTAAGCGAACAAGAGAACAATTGAATAAAATGACGAATTTAACCCTGAGCGATGGAAAACCCATGTGAATGGTGAGTGGGCCACAGAGTCAAAAACTCAGAATGTGGCTTTCTTTACAGTCTGTAGTTGACTCACCTCCACCAACCAACGATATGCCCCTCACCATCTAAAACTGCCTTTTTAACAAAATTTTGCAGACACTCACGCTTTCAGTGTGTATATTTGGTGCCACTGTCTTGTCTCCACTCGTAACGGCGACGGGGACAAAAGGGAAAAAATATGAAGAGGTCATTCAACTATTAGCGACTATTAAATTCAGTCCATAAACTTTTCATTTTTATCAGTTAAGTCACTGAATGTCACTTTATTCATTTTTTTTATTTAAAGAAATTCAGTCACTTTATTTAGGTGTCTAATATGATGTGATGTTCAAAATTTAAAATTAGAAACAACAAGAAAAGGAAAATATGGAAAAAGATGACCCACTAGAAATGAACAAACAAAATAAATTTGTAAGATTTTCCCATTGTAACTAATTTTGATTTTTGATCCACTTCAAGTTTTTTTTTTTAAATATAAAATTACAAGAGTTCGTTATGCAGCAATGACAACATAAGAATGAAATGTCGGTCAACATCTCTATAATGCGTGAAACACGTTGCTGATCAACCTCTTTATAATGACATGAAACACGTTGATTTTATTATAGAAAACGTTAAAGTTTGATAATATCTAAATTTAGCCTAAACACAAAGATTTAAGGTTCATCGACTTATCTTTTCATTTGACAAGTTATGATCCTAACAAATACTGAGTTAGATGGAAAGTAGGTAAACTTTGTAAAATGGCTTATTCATTGTCTATAATTTTATAACAGAGAAGAAATTTTAGAGCTTGTTTGGGAGATTAAAATCGGATTAAAATTGAAAAACTAGCCGTTATTGTTGACTTTTATTAGACGAGTGAGATCCAATAACAACAATTTTTTGTTTTAAGTTAGACGATAAGTCGATAATCAGAAACCCTTGTATTTAGATTAAAATTTTAGAGATTGTTCTATCATAAAATGACTTATTTATTGTTCTATCTAATTTTAATATATAAAAATTGAAAAAATTCTCCTTAGGAAGAGAATCCAAATATAGAAAAAAAATTTACTAAGATTATTATTATTTTTTTAACATGTAGAAATATTAGCCACTTTCTTTCTTTATAAACAAAAATCCTCTCCTTTGTTCCTCCCATCTTCCCTTACAACTCATTTTCCATATATTCAAACCTCACTCTTCTACCAATCTGTCTCTGTCTCTCTCTCTCTGTCTCTCTCACACACATTCACGCAATACCAAAGTTACAGAGTTACAGCGCAGCACAACTATACATACAACTATACACAAAGATACACAGGGTACCAACTCATTCTTCCAAATATAGAAACCCTAATTTCATCCCCTTCTTCTTCTTCTTCCCCAACCCCACAACCACCGCTAAATGCCTCACTCTTGACCTCCATTTTTATCCACATTATCACTCTACAAATGACTTTTACTTTCTTTCTCGCTCTATTTTTCCTCCCATTTTCACTCTTCAGCCATGCTTCGGCGGTCGAGGCTGAAATCCGATCACTACTCGAATTCAAGAAGGGGATAAAGATTGACCAATCTAGCAAAATCTTCTCCACATGGGTTTTCCCCGCGGATCCCACCGCTGACCTTTCCGCCTGCCCTACCTTCCATGGAGTTTCTTGCGACCCATCCACCAGCTTTGTCACTGCCATTGCCCTAGACCGCCTAGGCCTGGTCGGAGAGTTGAAATTCACCACCCTTGTTCCGTTGATGCATCTCCAGAACCTAACCCTTTCTGGGAATTCCCTCTCCGGCCGCCTTGTTCCGACCCTTGGTCTAATTACAGATCTCCAGGTCATAGATCTCTCTGGAAACCAGTTTTATGGGCCCATTCCAGCCCGTTTGAATGACCTTTGGGCTCTGCATTATCTCAATTTGTCAAACAATAATTTCTCCGGGTGGTTCCCTGCTGGGATCAGGAACTTACAGCAGTTAAAAGCATTAGATTTGCGTTCTAATCAACTGCAGGGAGATTTACGAGGGATAATTTCTGAGTTGAGGAATGTTGAGTACCTGGATTTGAGTGGGAATCAGTTTGTTGGGTCAATGGAAATGAGTGTTGAAAACGTATCAAGTTTGGCCAATACTGTTCAGTATGTGAACTTGAGTGGGAATGGGTTGGGGGGCGGGTTTTGGGGTAGTGATGCAATGATGTTGTTTCGGAACTTGAGGGTTTTGGATTTGAGTGATAATGGTATCATTGGGGAACTGCCGGATTTTGGGCAATTGCCAAATCTTCGGGTTTTACAGCTTAGAAGCAATAACCTTTCTGGCTCGTTGCCGGAGGGGCTTTTGCAGGGTGCTGTCCCGTTGTTGGAGTTGGATCTCAGTAGCAATGGTTTCTCGGGTGAGCGTTTGTTTTTCAATGGTGATAGTAATATAATGGCTTTTGGAATTTTTATTATCTCAGCATCTACTTTCAACTTTGATTGATCAGTGACTCTGATTGTTATGTCATTGAGAAAATGTGTGCGCCTTTTTTTGAATTATGATGTGACATTTATTACTCTTAGTTAATAATTACAATAATTCTTCTAGCACCAGGGGTGTTTGATCTCTGTTTAAATGGCAACATATGATAGGTTTTATTAAATAGGCCACAACTCCTTCATTTAATTGAACCTACGATTTAATGCTACAATTGCTGCCACCTAGACCGGTGGTTCTCAGTATCATTAATCTAATTATTATGGTTATAAGTGGAAATTCTAACTGACACTAGGTATTTTGGCCGTTTATGGGTCGAAGTTTTGGTCATTAATGATTTTATGCTTCGTGTATCTGCAATTGCGTGTGTTTGACAACAATGGGTTTAGCTTTTGTGAGTCAAAGAGAAAACAATATCTTCGTCGTTTACACTAATAGATTAGGATGAAAATATATATTGGCTACCTACGATGCCAAAAATTCAGTTTGTCATTGTCCTAGAATTAGAATGTTTAGCTTGTGGGGTCTTGGTTTTCACTTACCATATAGAGTATCTAAAGGTCAAATGCAGAGCTTAAAGAGTTATGTTGTTTTGTTGTGAGAAGTATTGTGAATGTGGTCGGTAACCGACATGAAGTCTTAACTAAAAGGGTACAGAGATCAAAGACACAACCACACGTGTCATTCACAATAAGTAGTCTTAAAGATTAATGCTCCAGCTAAAGATATAAGGAAAAGAAAGGATACCGTTGCTTTATATCTTGAATGGAACTCAGAAACTCTAGTTCTTTAAATGTTGGCTCCTACCTTATTACTATATATTCTACCTGGAACACAAATTGAGAAATTCCACATTATTGAATCTTTAAGGTATGAGTTCAAATTAATTGCTCTATTTTATAATGCATTTCATTTTATATATTCTATGGTGTGCATGCTGTTAGCATGAACTATGTAGGTCATGTCACATCATACTGCCTATTTTCTGTAATTAGACATTGGCTGTCCTTTGTTTGACTGAGTTGACAGCGTTGGACATTTAGGTGTATGATAAACCTTTAAAAGGCATCTCAAAATAACTTTTTGTCATGTTTAGCGTCTTAATTATTATTATTATTATTATTATCAGTTACTTCAGAAATACTGCAATCTCATATTCCACAATGCCTGTTTTTAGCAAAAGCTTGTAATATTCGCTCTCTTTAACTGAAAATTTCATGGTCGTGTTGGAGCAGTATTCGTGTTTGTTGTCTTATGATATTTTCCTTTTTGTAATTACTTTTATATCAAAATTTTCATTAAAGGTATTCTAAATATTCATTTCTCTTGCCAGGTTCCGTTCCAAATATCAACTCTACAACTTTAGACATGATGAATATTTCATCAAATTCACTCTCAGGCTTGTTGCCGCCCTCATCAGGAAATTGTCGGGTTGTTGATTTAAGCAGAAATATGCTATCAGATGACATATCTGTTCTGATGAATTGGAATGCCAAGTTGGAAATTCTAGATTTGAGCTCAAATAACTTGACTGGAAGCATGCCCAACTTGACACAGTTCCAAAGATTGACTGTGCTTAGTATTAGAAACAATTCCTTAGAGGGTATGTTGCCTTCTTCATTGGGCTCCTATCCAAAGATCATCACAGTTGATCTCAGCTCTAACAGACTTGATGGTCCGGTTCCGCGAACCTTCTTTACTTCAACAACCCTGTCAAATTTGAATCTGTCTGGCAATCATTTGACAGGATCAATTCCTCTTGAAGGCTCTCAGACTAGTGAATTATTAGTTTTACCTTCTGTTCCACCAATGGAGTCTCTAGATCTTTCAGGAAACTCCTTGACGGGTGAATTAACTTCTGATATAGGTAACTTTGCGAGGCTTAATTTATTGAATCTCGCGAATAACCATTTATCTGGACAGCTACCTAATGAATTGAGCAAACTCAGTGGCCTGAAGTACATTGATTTATCCCACAACAGCTTCAACAGTCACATTCCTGATGGACTTACATCGAGCCTGGAATACTTCAATGTGTCCTACAACAATTTGTCGGGAAATATCCCTGAGAACTTGAGACGCTTCCCCAGTTCTTCATTTATGCCTGGAAACAGCTTCATTAATGTGCCTGGTGGTTCGCCATCGAGTAATAATGTTCCCAATAATATTGAAAGATCAGGACATCACAGCTCGAGATCTAGTATCAGAGTTGCTATTATTGTTGCATGTGTTGGAGCTGCGGTAATGATTGCCTTTGTTCTATTGGCTTATCATCGGGCTCGACTTCAAGATTTCCGTGTAAGAAGTGGATTTTGTGGCCAGACTGCTGGTAGAGACGTTAAACTAGGAAGGTTTAGTGGGCCTTCACTTTTCAGATTCCATAGCAGCCCCGAGCCTCCTCCGACTTCATTAAGCTTTTCTAATGATCATTTGTTGACTTCAAATTCAAGATCATTGTCTGGGCAAATGGAGTCTCGTACAGAAATTATTGAGAATGTATCGTCCGAGGGAGTGGCTATTGGCGTAGGATCTACTAAATGTCAAGAAGATGTCCACCCTACAACATCTGGAAGAAGGTCTTCTCCTGGGTCCCCTATAGCTTCCTCACCTAGTTTTATCGACACTATAGAGCAAACTGTTACACTGGATGTATATTCACCAGATCGATTGGCTGGGGAATTGTTTTTCCTGGACGCCTCACTAGCATTTACAGCTGAGGAGTTATCGCGAGCTCCAGCTGAAGTTCTTGGTAGAAGTAGCCATGGCACTTTGTACAAAGCTACCCTAGACAATGGGCATATGTTGACTGTGAAGTGGTTAAGGGTGGGATTGGTCAAACACAAGAAAGAATTTGCAAAAGAAGTTAAAAAGATTGGATCGGTAAAGCATCAGAATATTGTTCCTATACGGGCTTACTATTGGGGACCAAGAGAACAAGAGAGGCTCATTTTAGCAGACTACATCCAGGGGGATAGCTTGGCTTTACATCTTTATGGTAAGATACATTACTCTCGTGTTACATCTGGGTATAATCTACTTTAATCCTCTTTTCTTATTCTTCATATAAATACTAAAAACTTTCCCTCACATTTGTCCATTGATGCAGTTACTGAATATATATACACAAGTTCAACTTTTAAGTTGTAAATAAATATATATTTTTTCCCCACAATTAATAGAAAAGTTGGATGTGAACTATGTTTTTTTATCGAGAAAATGGTTGGATATCTGGAAAAGATCTACAGAATCAGATTAGTTGCAGTTTTATGGTATTCCCAAAATCATCACAGTTTCTAAACTGGAAAATAATTGGTTGCTGTCTTTTGTTAATTCCTTACTTAAGTCTCTATGAACTGCCTATGAAAGGAAAATGATCCTATATGGTTCAAGTTCAATACAATTCTTCCTTTGAAACGATCCTTTTGGCCATGCCCAATTGAAATGGTAGGTCTGGAATGTCATTTGATGGCGTTTTGGAATTTCTTAAAGCTATTTTGCATCCAGGATCTTTAGGAATAGCAGTTGAATCTATATAATAATAAAAGGACATCACATTTACAGATTATTAATGGCAGTGATGTCTTTTTTAGATTGCCAACTTTAAATACTCTTGGCTTTTGGTTCCTGACTACATTTGGGCAGTGCAGGGTGGTTTTGAATATATTGTTTTAGCAGAATAATTACGAGTAATTTTATGCAGAAACAACGCCCCGGAGGTACTCCACATTGCAGTTCAACCAAAGATTGAAAGTTGCTGTTGATGTTGCTCGGTGTCTTATATTCCTTCATGATAGAGGCCTTCCTCATGGAAACCTAAAACCAACAAATATACTCTTGGAGGGCATGGATTACAGTGTTCGGCTTACAGATTATGGTCTTCACCGCCTGATGACCCCAACAGGCATTGCTGAGCAGATCCTGAACCTGGGGGCTCTTGGATATCGTGCCCCAGAACTTGCAAGCGCAGCCAAACCTGTCCCATCTTTTAAGGCTGATGTGTATGCTTTTGGTGTAATCTTGATGGAATTGTTGACCAGAAGAAGTGCTGGGGACATTATCTCTGGTCAATCAGGTGCTGTTGATCTTACGGATTGGGTTAGACTCTGCGATCAAGAAGGAAGAGGTATGGATTGCATCGACAGAGATATTGCAAATGGAGAAGAACATTTGAAAGCAATGGATGATATGCTCGCCATATCGCTGAGGTGTATTCTTCCTGTCCATGAAAGGCCTAACATCAAACAAGTCCTTGAAGATCTCTGTTCCATATCAGTGTGAAATTTTGTACATGTTGCCTTGGAATTAATTCTTTTGTAACTGGTTTATTGTGTATTTTTTCTATTTTTTATTTGGTTCCTTTGCCTTGTAATTTGGGCTCATTTTCACCAATTTCTAGTTCCCTTCGAATTTTTGTGTAAAGGGATGTTTTATCCATTAATTATTTGACCGAATTCTCAATTTGATCTCGAGTTCTATACAGAGGTGTCAAGACGGACGGGTCGACCATGACCCGTGAAAATCGGCCCGTAAAAATCGGGACCGCGGGCTGACCCGTGCGGGCGGTTCACGGGCAAGGAGGTGTAACCCGCGGGCTTCGCGGGTTGCACCCCCACGGGCCGCGGTTAACCCGCGACCCGTAAAAAGAATTGAAAAAAAAAATAAAACAAAAATTAGGGGGGGGGGGG